TATTATTCAAGAAAATGATGATTATAGTTCATTGGATTGTGGTCATTTTGTTAGTATTAGAATGTTTTTACTAGTTCTTATGGTGGACATATCTCAAATTGTTGGCTTGTGACATATGGTGAAATAAATAAAAAACCTGCGTTTGAGAAAGGGATAAAAAAAATGCTATAATTTCTTTTAATATTGTGTATCTTGCTAACATGATCATAGATGATTGAAAAGGTGAATGAAGAGAAAATTTCTTGTGGTTACAATGACTCAAACTTGAATATATTATAACCAGTTTAGGATTTTGGTCAAGTCTGATTTTTACATGTATCACTTATTTGTTAAGATATTAGTGGAAATGTCACTTAAAATTGTCTTTTAACACGGCTGATCATTAAAACCAAATGCTAGTATCAGTAATATTAATACCTTCCAAAATCTGATTAGATTTTCTATTGTTGACCTTTGAGCGACTGGTAACCATTTTTGCCCCAAAGATATCATGGGTATGTCATCAACTGTTTATCAGGCATGTCTTGCCTGATTTCATTCAAAGATGGTATTGACATCACTTGTGGTGGGTTACTGATTTACTACAATTAGCTGTACTTTCCTCACACTAAATCAATAGTATGATATTGATTAACCCCTTGGACATTGCTTGATCATAAACCTAATTTAGAAATATAACACCTCCATAGTGCTGGAAAAAGCAGTCAGAGGTTGTTCATTGTGTGTTCATTGTCTAGCCTAAACCAGCCCGTCCTAGGATTAGTTCTAAATTGTCCATGGACTGAAGCTGAAAAAAAACCTGTGATCTGGTCCAAAGATTCTTCAAAAACAATGCACAATTTTTTCAGGAAGGTGCACATATGTGAACTCCTTCCCTGCCTTATTTTTCACTTTGTTTCAAATAAAAAAACAACAACTCCTGAGCGTGGCTTTTAGAACTGATGCACACAACAACCAGAAACAGTTCTTTTTTTTGCCTAAATATGGCTTCACTATGTAAAAATTTATCAAATTATATAGTTCCTCTTCTCACATACAATTGACAGTAAGATATTGATTTAAACTTTTGTATAGACTAAAAAAGCACACTTGGGTGGGTAATCTGTCCAAAACCTCAAACTAACAATTAGGTTGTTCCTAAATCCCCCCAAGATGGTTGTAATGTAACAAATCCAACATAACTATTATATTATAAATAGAAACTCAGAGAGACATTTACTCACTGTTGTATTTTTTTTGTTTCGACCCAGCTGACTACTAAAAAAAACACGTAATAGTTTTGAAATTAATATTTTGTATTAACTAAATACATTAGAAATGCAGATATGCCTTGACTGATTGCAATCAAGCACCTTTATTTATATAACCCATATAAACATGTATTCATTCTGAATTCATTTCAGATTTTTTCACTACTGAACAATGAGGGCTGTGTCTTGACATGAGTTTATTATTAAAGGCAGTTCATAGTATTATCTCTTTCTGTTTAGTTGTGCTTTGTATAATCAGTATATATATAGCCAAGCTGCAGGCTTCTATGACAGACACAATCTTTTTATACATTAGTATGTACTATCTGTACTGGAGTGATACTATCAGAAAAGATGAGAATTAAATAAAACCAGATTGGTGCAGCAACAAATATTTTGTTAGTCACAATATACAGCCTAACTGACACTAAACTAAACTAAACTAAACTGAAAGCACATCAGTATATTGACTTAGTGTTATCAAATGATATATACATTATGTAGGTCTGTATAATGTTATTATTTAGTCAAGTATTGATGCATACCAGGATATTTTAAAACTTGTATCCTAAGTCGGATGTGATAAACACTTAGCATCCAGTCTAATTCATATCCACTATGAATTTGTATTCATTATTTAATAGATATGCCATGTTTTAATAATATTTGGCAATTATTTTGAAAATATTATTATACTGAAATACAGTGATTGCACATAATGTACAATAAACATTAAGTGATTTATGACTAGTGCACTTTCTCAATAATTGTAATTTATAGACATTTTACGGGATGATGATAAATTTATTTGACAACAAATTTATTTTATCAAATATATATTGTTCTGTGTTGTGAATATACAATTATTTATACAATTATTCATTTGTCTATCCTGTCTAGTTTTGTATATGAAGGATCTTCATTTGTGCGAGCATTATCTCTTGGATCAGTTCAGATGTGTGGTATTGTGAAAACATCTCCAATGCCGTCACTGTCACCATCTTTGAAAGATGTCCCAACAGCTGTCAATGAAAAGACAGGGAGAAGAGAGCAGTGTGTTGTTTCCATGGCAGCTGGATTACCCCACTTTGCTACAGGTGTGATGAGGTGCTGGGGGAGGGATACTTTCATTGCATTTCGTGGATTGATGTTAGTGACAGGAAGATGTGAAGTTGCCAGGTAATCAAATATTGTAAACCACTTAATTTTCACAGTTGTCAGAAAAAAACAAACTAATTGTGTTGCTAATAATACTCATGCGCTGCAATTAGCATATCATATTACATGACCTGGTGGGAGAACCCAGTTCATGCATGATTGAACAGACCTATGTCAACTGGGAAACAAACTAGTCACAGATTCCTGGATAACCTAATCTTTCCAATGCCAAATTAATATACTCATCCCAGGATATCACAAAAAATTGAACAATAATGCAAACAGAAAAGTTTCCAATTGGCTTCATCCTGTTATCTCAGAAATAGATTCTAGTAATACAAGAATTCCGCCGCTGATTGGTTGGAAATTTAATTGAAGATACATTCAACAAGTACAAGTCATTATTTCTCTTGATCATTCCATTATTTTACATTTTTGCTATTTTCCAAAAAGATAAGATATCATTGATGTCCTTAAAGCAAGTAGAAAATTGAACTTCATCCCTATGCTTGGTCATAGTTTTTTCATGACAGGCAATGTTTTTGTTTTCAATTGCATGTAGTAAAGATCAATCAAAAACAGAAGAACTGAAATGTTCCCCTACTCGCATTTGTCGCAACATTAACATATTTAGTCTTTGTCTGTTATGCAGGAATTTGATTCTGGCATTTGCTGGAACCCTTCGCCATGGTCTGATTCCCAATCTTGTTGGTGGAGGTGCACATGCTAGATTCAATGCTAGAGATGCTGTCTGGTTCTGGCTACAAGCCATCCAAGATTACTGTAATATGGTACCAGAAGGCACTGCTATATTATCTATGCCTGTATCCAGGATATTCCCAGATGATGATTCTGAACCACAACCAGCAGGATTCTCAGTAAGTACGGTACACATAAAGTATTTTCATTTTTACTGAAGTGGAGGTTAACTGTTATGAAAGTGCTGTCTCAAATGATTCCCTAAAGGTCACACATCTTTCACAATTATATTTCCATCCTAACAGTGCAGCAGTTAAATTTCCAAAATTGTTTTGACATAATCTATACAATCTAGACAGTGTCAAAATGTCTGCCTTAAGTTGTCATGAATATTACTTCTTACGGAAAGGATGTCTGGTGATTGGCAATCCAGTATAACATTGTGACATGTTGCCTTCACAAATGACAGTAGCCATCACACTACCCATATTAATGTAATATTTTAACTGGCTCCTTGTAAAACAGCATTTAGTTGACAGGATTTCTAATAAACTTTAAACTTTAAAACTTTAAACTCGTAATCCTTTACTAATGAAATGTTACATATTCAGAGAACATTTGTGGAGGTCTTTAATCTATTACCATTATGTTGTCTGGCTGGACTTTTTAAACAAGACTTTGGTGGCCTTTTTAGATTTGAAAATGGGCAATGGACATACAAATTGTAGTTCATAATTCAAAATGTTTTCGTAAGGAAATTGCTGTCCTAAAAGTGTGTTATGCATGACCATTCTTGAATGAAAGCATGAAATATTTTTAAAGAGAGAATATAGCAGCCAGAGTGGCAGATAATTTTCACTACATGTTTATTGTTTGATTTACTCAACAGGAAAAACAGTTAGTAGATATAATTCAAGAAGTGATGCAGAAACACATGCAGGGTATCAACTTTAGAGAAAGACATGCAGGATTTGGACTAGATAGAAACATGTCAAATGAAGGTACATAGATATTCTAAAACATTAACTGTTAATATCACACTCTCATGAAATCAATGTTACCACTGGTCTGGTCTGGGCATCAATCAGTCTGAAACTGACTACTTTAAATTACGTTCCGCCAAGACCACCAAACATACACATTATTGTTCCCCGTTCAGATGCAGTCCAAAAATGAGGACTTATGGATTGACCTCAGTGTGTGTGTGTGTCTGTGTGGCCAGTACGTCTGTGCATCCATGCGTGTGTCCAGACCTGTATCTTAGACATGCCTGGACCAATTACATTCAAACTTCATACATGTACATCATACATTATATTATACACATCAATTTGTTTCCTGATTTGAATCAAGATGGCTGAATGGCGGCCATTTTTGTACTGAAAATTTCTCAGCTGTTTACAGATGGATTTTGTTCAAATTTGGTACACACATTGGACATTATGGGACCTTGATGCGGCAGTACCCCCGGTGAAACTCAAGTTAAATATTTCGAACCTAGCGTGGGGACCAAGTTTAACGACCGAGTCCCAGATACTTATTCAGTATCAAATTGTCCCCCTAACATTCATTATACATCATGTCATAGATATACAGATGTATTGGTTTGACGATTCGATTCAAAATGGCTGACCGGTAGCCATTTTGTTTTCATTAATGCTGTTCCAGAGCTATATCTCTCAATACGGACAAGTACTTGTACTATATTACTATAAACAAAACTATATAACTTACATTTGATAACTAACAAGAAATGTGCTATGCATGGCTTTATTTTAGGTCAATCATTTTATGGTGTCTTACCAATTGGGTGTTCTGTATATATGTTAGTGTTTCCACTACAGATAGTAGTAGATTCCTCCTATCAAAATAAATTTCCATAGGATGATACTGTTTCTGTCTTTGTGACAGAGAGTAATAGGTTTTGATAGGATTGTCCAACCAGTTCTTTCTTTCCTGTGATAAGAGATATGACTTCCTATCAGTAATTGGGTCGTGTCAAAATTATGCAGAATTCTCGTTTTGTAGCAGTGAAAATTTCACTCTGGTTCTTTAGACTTTTATGGATTATGCCTCCAAACTATTATTTTGCAAACATGAATAAATAAATAATTATTTACATTTTGTAGGATTTGATGTCAAAATTTGTGTTGACAAGGAAACTGGATTTGTGTGTGGTGGCAGTGGCAGCAATTGTGGAACATGGATGGATAAAATGGGTGAATCATGTACAGCAGGAACTAAAGGGAAACCAGCAACACCACGGTTAGTGAAACTCAAAACTTAACCTCAGCACCTCAAGTAAATTGTTATTATGGTTTATTTTTAGCTTCGCTGTAGACAAAGTCGATTGTCCGTTGTCGTCATCAACTTTACAATTTCAACTTCTTCTTCAAAACCGCAAGTCAGAATGTTTTCAAATTTGATATGCAAGTACCTTGGATGGTTCTTTCTAAGATATGTTCATTTCATGTCAAAATCTCAAATTCTCTACTTTTGGTGAATATTTTTGTCATCTTTGGTAAAAAGTAATATTCTTGTAAAAAAGAGCAAGTCTGATTGCTTTGATATGACATATATAGGTACTACCGGTACATGTGGACTTCTCTCAGATTTGTTCATTTCATGATGATATCTTCAATTCTCCAATTTTGATGAATATTTTTGTCATTTTTGATAAAAAGTGATATTTTCAACTTCTTGTTAAAAACAGCAAGCCTGATTGCTTTGATACTATACATATTGTTCATTTTCTAATGATATCTTTAGTTCTTAATTGAAATGTACAGCAGAGCTATCTCAGTCGACTGGCTGCTTGTCTTTAGAATGCAACCTGATTCTTGGCATTCATAATGCATGTTTTTATATATTCAGAGATGGGTCTGCTGTGGAGCTAGTTGGTTTATGCAAATCTGCATTGCGATGGCTTGTTGAGCTGTATGAGCGTGGGTTATATCCTTATGACAGTGTAGCAAGATATGTCAATGGTACGTAATCTTTTTTTGACATTATCCACTTTTTTGGCATTTACTTCACCAGTATACTATATGGTATACTATACTATATTCAGTTTTTTTCAGTTTTCATCAGTTTTCTTCAGCACATTTCTGATGACAGTGTTGATATTTCTCTACAACTGACAATGCAATGTAAAAATATGATATATGATGACAAAATATGGACAAATGGTATACCTTAATATTTACATAGCTGTTTAAAGTTTAATGAATCATGCAGTATTTCAATGTAATGTAACGTGAACACATAGACATATTCTATTATGTTTATCTCAACATGGCCTTATATCAGTTACTGTTTTTATATAATTATTCCTTTCCAAAGGTAAACCTGTCAAGCTGACTTACAAAGACTGGAATGACTTGATACAAGATAATTTTGAGAAGCATTTCTGGATTCCAATTGACATAAATAAAGTTACCAATAAACTGGTTAATAAGAGTGGTATTTACAAAGACTGTGTTGGGTCATCTCAGTGCTGGGCTGACTACCAACTCAGACCAAATTTTGCAATTGCAATGGTGCTGGTGAGTGGATAATCGGAATGAAATCACTGTCACAATAACAGCTAGTGTTTTTTTCAAGTAACTTTTCTATCTTTTTCAAGAAAGTCATATTAAAGTATTAAGCATAAAATTTCACAAATATAATTATCTTTTAGCTCTGCTGTTGACTTTTATTGTCTCTGTCCACTTCATCTTAAAAACTGATTGCTTTGATACTTGGTGTATATGTACCTTGGGTAGACCTCTTTTAGGATAATTTATTTCATGATGATGTCTTCCATTCTCTAATATTGATGAATACTTTTTGTCATTTTTG